GGGTCTGTTGAGGCAGTTCCTTCAGCACATACAAAGAGAAACGTGCGGTAGCCCCTGTGTGGCAGGCCAAGACTAGTATGATTCTAGGTTCTTGGTCGTATTCCCTTAAAGGAATCTTTTCCTGATTCCAAGCCTTGAGCTCTACCCCGGGTCCAGGAGTCTGGCCCTAACAGGTAAGTATTTTGGGGTATGTAGCCTAGGCCTGTGGCCGTAGGGAATAACGTCACTGACAGCCGTCTAACGTCCCAGGGGCAACTCCCATAGCAATATGGTAGAGTTGGTACTTAGTGCTCACCATGGTTCTGGCATGCACTCCCCTCAGCATGGTGGCGTGGGTATACCGTTGGATGGATTTGTTACTTGGTCTATCGTGTTACATAGGGAGCTCGAGCTGATTAGAGAAGCGTCTTGGCTGATTATGCAAACTGTGTGGCATTTGCGTATTGATGGGGAGTCGACTTCAAAAGAGTTGATTCCTCGACTCTTGAATAGCCGTAGTGTCGGGATCGACTCTTGTTGTCGTGTCTGAAATCGTTCACTCATTCTAATCCTTATATAGTGCGAATGCTCTTTCTCGTGACTTTTCCCTCTTTAAAATTACACGTGTTAGCAGCAACAACTATGAAATGATACTCATCATTTCAAGGTAATGTCATCTCAAAAATGGATTTTTAATGTAAGGCTTCATTTCAGGGAAAAATGGCCTACATTTCATGTGTAATATAACGACTGCCTGCAATATTGTAATTGCTGACCCTCTAAGGAAATGGAGTTGAAGAGTCGATTACAGGAGTCGATTCCTTACAGGAGTCGACGAACACGCTAACACATTAGCGTGTTCGTCAATTTGAGGGCGGAGCGATGAAGGGAGGGTGTGTTTCTTATTGAATGATTGTTCTAGTCTCCGCCCACCCATCCTCATGCACCAATCAGAACGCTCAAATCCAGATCGATCATAGTTGCTGTTCTAGAGCATTGTAGGCTACTGGAGCATTTGAAGCAGTGTTGCCAACTTAGCGACTTTGTCGCTATATTTAGCGACTTTTCAGACCCCCCAGGTGACTTTTTTCCAAAAAAGCGACTAGCGACTTCTTGGACAAACCTTAGCGAGTCTCTGTGAT